GTATTTAGTGCACACTCCTAATCTTTGCTTGTGGTATCTTAAGGGCTCCACTTTCGAGTTACTTGGCTATTTTGATTCAAATTATGCTGGTTGCAAAGTAAACTGAAAGAGTACTACCAGGACTTGCCAATTTATTGGTAGGTCTTTGCTGTCTTGGAGCTCTAAGAAGCAAAACTCCATTGCTTTGTCCACCACTGAGGCTGAATATGTGGCGGCCGGTGCATGCTGTGCCCAACTACTTTGGATGAAGCAAATTCTCAAAAACTTTGGTTGTGAGCTAACCAAGATTCCCATTTTGTGTGACAATGAGAGTGCCATTAAGTTGGCAAACAACCATGTAAAACACTCTCGAACAAAGCACATAGACACTCGGCATCACTTTTTGAGAGACCACGAAGCCAAAGGAGATATTATAATTCATCATGTGAGCACCGAAAAGCAACTAGCTGATATCTTCACAAAGCCCCTAGATGAGTCAAGATTTTGTGCCTTGAAGAGTGAGCTAAATATCATTAATTCTCGTAACATGGCTTGTTGTCTTGCACATACTCTGTTTGATCTATCTTGGAGAAAAGATTTAAGAAAATGTTGTGTGACACCTTTAAAATCTATTTTATAGTTTTCTTGTGTGACTATTGCTTTGTGATGGTTGAATGAAATCTAGTCACACCTAAAAATGCTAGTGTCCATCATATTTTTGCCACACATGGCATGGTGAGTTCAAGCTGTGGAGTTTTTCGGTTTTCCTATGTTGGAAGTCCTGACTTGTGTCAGAACTCCCGACAGCTAGAAGTCCTGGCTCGCGCCAGAACTCCCGACTGCCAGAAGTCCTGGCTCAGCGTCGGAACTCTCAACGTGGATCTAGCCCACGCCGTTGACCGTCTGTTTTGACCACGCCTGTGCCTCTCTTGACTTAGGGTTAAATTCCTTTTTACTATGGCCTGGCCCAGTTAGTTGCTCTCCCACCCACCCTCCCCTACGCTGGCCTCGAGCGGCCACCCTCGCGACGCCCACCACCGCGTTGCCTTGCCCCTGTGTCGCCTTGCTCCGATCCCAGCGTCGCCCCTTTCTCCATTCTCCACCATGTGTGCCCCTCATTGAAGTTCAAGCTCTCGTGGTGGTGTGGATTTCGGTTGTGGAGGTGCTCATACTTGTGGATTGGTTCATGGACATCATGGTCCCTGCGGACTTCACTTTTCTCCATTCTCTTCCTCTCTTTCAAGGTACAACCATTTTGCCCAAACCCTAACTGTCAATGTACCTTGATATTTGCCTCCTTTCTTCTCCTATATCTTCTCCTCTACCTTCCTTGCTTGACTGTGTGCCTAGATCTAGAGGCCCATGCCTAGGATGGCACTCATGATCGTTGAAACTCTCGGCGTCTGCCGAAAGTCCCGACCGCCGGAAGTCCTAGCCTCCGTCGAAACTCCCAACGGCAGGGAGTCCCGGCTCATGTTGGCACTTCCGACACCATGGATGCCCTCCCATGCATGTTCCTCCGTCTCTATGTGGCTCATGTCGGCACTTTCGACGCCTTGGATCCCCTCTGTCCTTCTTGGTTCTTAGTCTCGTTTTGTCTCTTTCGCAGCCATGGATGACGGCAGTCCCTCAAGCCGCAAGGAGAAGTGGTCCAAGCACAACCAAGACCGTGCCGCTGCTCCCAAGCCGACTAGCCACACTAAGGTGGCTTGTCCCCGTGATGGAGTTAGTGGTTCATGTGCTCGGGCCACTGCATGTGGCCATAGTGGTCAAGGATCGTCTACTGTTGCTCCTTCTCAGCTAGCTTGAGCCTTTGTTGGAGATGATCCGATTGTGGATGATGAAGAAGAAGCCCTCGAGCGAGCAGGCCACACCATCGCTGCTGAGGTTATGAGTACACCTTGTCGGGACCATGGTTTTGTCAGTCAGCTTGTTACTTTTGAGGGTCCTCTGCCAGTCCTATGGGAGCCCCAACTTGCTCCCAATCCTTGTGGTGGCTTCACCCCTCCTCTGCCAGTTGACTACCATCATAGGGTCTCGGACATCAGGTCCATGTGAGGCCAGAATCTTTATGCTTAGGATGAGAAGGACCTCTGGCTTGAGTATCATTTCTGGTACCCTTTCCACTTTGACTTCTATGATTCCATTATCTATCGTAAGTTTTTGAAGAAGAGGGAGCCACTGATCATTCAGATGAAAGTCATTGATGCTTATTCCCTTGGTGTATTCAAGGAGCCGAGCTAGTGTAGTTGGTTTGTGATCTGTGCAGAATGGGACTCTCCTACTTGATGGAATTTAGGAAGCATTGGAACAATAAAATCATCTATTAGTTTTATGCTTCCTATCATCACGAGAGAGACTCTACCGGTGACATTGACATTGTTCATTGGACCACTGAGGGCAAGCACTATAAGGTGGATTTCATCACTTTCTCTCGCCTTCTTGGTTTGAATGAATACGATCGCACTTCACCTAAGCTTACTGAGTATGAGGATGTGGCTTTGGAGGAGTACCAGCACATGCATCTTGATGGTTATCCTACAGATGGACAGACAATGTATCTGAAACCCTACTTCTATGTTCTGAACAACATCCTACGTCAGATCTTGTATCCAAAGTGAGGTGACTCCACTTATCTTCGTGATGATTCTCAGAAGGTGCTTCAGCGCTTTGGTGATGATTTTGACAAGTTCTCTATCAGTCACTACATTTGGAACAAGATTCATGATGCGACTGAGGATCCTATGAGGCACTATCCTTATGCTCCCTACCTTATGCATATGATTGAGCAAGTGTCAGGCATCCGCTTCCCCATAGATTCCAATCACAAGCTTCTCAAGATTTCCAACAAGACATCTATTACAGCTACAAGGGAACTAAAGAAGAAAGCTAACAAAGACAGGCAAAGGCAAAGGTGCTTCGAGTTCCCGCTCTCACCGTGGTGCTTCACCACCTGCTGCTTCTCATGCTTCTAGTGCTGAGCCGCTCTCTTCCTCCTCCTCTAGTAAGAAGCCCAGCAAGTTCAAGTTACTCATGACCTACATGTTTGGACAGTGCTGTGCTAGTGCTCAATGCAAGCAAGACATGCAAGAGAGACTCTATCGTTTGGAACAGCAGGCTGGTATTGAGTCTTCAGCAGCACCACTGTTTGTGCCTCCCCATGATCCTCTAGCGCTCTATGATGAGGCTTGTGTGGAATACGAGGACGACGCTTCCTCTCGCCCTCATGGCGAGAGAAAGGCCACTGCTATGGATGAAGATTACATCGAGGAAGACGATGATGACAACGACGATGATGGTGATGACGATGACCATGATGATGATGAGGACTACAAGGACAAGTAGTCGTTTCTCCCATGTGACCTACCCCTTTTGGCACTTGTTGACAAAGGGGGACTGTTAGGCCTTGATTATCATGTAATATGTTAGTTGGCTTGGTTCGAGACTTTAAACCTTTTTAGCTTGTATGAACTATGTCATGTGGTGGCTCTATGTGATGGGCATATATATGTGTGTGTGATGGATGGTTGTAGGACAAGATTATGCTTATCCAGTTATCTTATTAGCTATTGTGCTTGTCTCTACTTGTGATGGTGATTGTTGTTTTTGTGTGGCCATGTGTTGTCAAGTTTTCTTCATTTGATCTTGGCCATACATTATTTTATATGTTTTGTGAATATATCATGTTATATTGCATCACCTCTTTATATATTTGTCCACACACTTGCTTAGGTACCCCACGAATTGCAAAATTTAGGGGGAGCTCTTATATCTTGATATATGCAAATGATGGATAAATGATCATCATTGAAATTCAAATTCATTGCATATATTAAGGGGGAGCTCTCTATAAATTTTGGGGTTCAAAAGCTTTAAATTCTTTCATTCTTATAAAAGCCTAAGTTTGTTGTCATCAATTACCAAAAAGGGGGAGATTGAAAGTGCATTTTCCCCCTATGTGGGTTTTGGTGTATTGATGACATCCAAATTAGGGACTAATGTGATCTTAATGAGATATGTCGCAATTATTAGTCCCATGAAAGATTCAAAGAGTTGATAAAGATGAAATTGTAACCCTTGAAGAGTTCATCATTTACAACTGATGCACTTTCACGCCATAGTGGCAAGCCCTGAATGCAGTCTATGTCTGAACATTTGAAAGAGAAAAATAATCAGAAATAGATTCTATATCAAGTCCAGAAAACAATATATACAAAAAAGTTGACATCCTTGTATATAACAAAAGAGTTCAATATCAATAGAAAAACCTGTCTAGGAAAACAAAATTTAATATATATCTTGTTTAGGGGAATAAATTAAATCCCATCTACCCAGCCATAGAGGGTTAGTACATTGCAACATTTGATGGCACTTGGACAACTGATCAGTTGGTCCTTTTTGTGAATAGTGAGAACATATAAAGAGTCAAAATTGTGAGGACAAACAGTATAGTTATGATACAATGTTCTCAGGAAGTGAATTCATGAGCTTACAAAAGTGAGGCACAAATTTTATTTCCTACTATAATCCTGTAGACAATCTTGACGAAGTCCTCAGTTGGGCCACCAAGGTATGAAATTCTACTTACTGAGCTGAAGGGTTATGGGCCCGGCGTTGGATGAAAATGTCTACGTCAAATTAGTCAAACACCGAGGTTGCACCAGATACAAGTTATTCCCTGGGATAAACGCTCACTCTATGAACTCTGTTGTCCACGGCGGCGTGTCGGATCCCTAAGAGAACCGATCCAACCAAGAACTCCATCCATTACCAACAAGAGGAAAATGAACATAGTTCAACAAAGAACAAACTACGTATTCAAGACCAGTTGGACAAACACCGAGGTTGCACCAGATACAAGTTATTCCCTGGGATAAACGCTGACTCTATGAACTCTGTTGTCCACGGCGGTGTGTCGGATCCCTAAGAGAACCGATCCAACCAAGAACTCCATCCATTACCAACAAGAGGAGAATGAACATAGCTCAACAAAGAACAAACTACGTATTCAAGGCCAGCAGTTATGCTGGCAGGAACTCATAGCAACGATCTTGGAGAGTGCATCCAGATAATCCGTCAAATTCAAGGCGGAAGTCGAAGCAGGAAACAGTCCACCCGAAAGACCTGTTAGTTGAAACACAAATACAGCAACAGTGCCCGCATTACCAGCAACAAAACGTCTCACAGTTGACTTATACTCCGTCCGTTCACAAAAGAATGCAATTCTCACTTTGTGAGAAATCAAACAATTTAAAGCTTAACTAAATTTATATAAAAAATACTAAAAAATGAGAGCCAACCTAGGAGGAACTAAATGGTTTTTCATTAATCATTAAGAAGAAATAGGCACCCAAATTCAGTCAAGACGGGACTTGAACCTAGGTGGTTGGGTGCCACACTTCTCACCCAACCAGTTGAGCTAGGCTCATTTCTTAAAAAAAATAACAGTCATCGTACAAAATAAGTAAACATTAGATAAGTTATAGAATATATATTCATAATAAATTTATTTGGAGATATAAATGTTAATAGTATTCACTGTAAATTTAGTCAAACTTAAGCGAGTTTAACCAACCTGGATCTTGTAATTGCATTCTTTCGTGAGGAGAGAGTAGCTCGGGAGGTTGCTACCATGACATTGACATGGAATGAAAGAAGTAGAATATATACTTTGAGCTAGCGAGCGGTTGTTGCCGGTGACGAGGACGACGGCGGGGCAGGAGCTGGTGTCCCGGCACGTCGTCAGGGTCAGGCAAGCCGTCGAACGGCTGGCCGGCGGTCCTGACGGCGCGTGACTCGGGCCGCGGCACCTGCACCAGCGCCGGCCACGGGGTCGGGTTGGGGATCGGGCAGCTCCCGACCTGGTCCAGGGTGGAGTGCTGGACGCCGCACTCCGTCCGGCGGCACGCGTCCCCGACCGCGGCCGGGCCCGGGTCGACGCAGGCGCAGCCGCATTGGTACTTGGGCTTGTCGAGCTCGCGGTCGATGACGCCCTGGAGCACGGCGAGGATGACGCAGAGGAGCACTGGGAAGAGCGTGATGCCGATATTGGTCTTCAGGTTCCGCTTCTGCACACATCCACAGCCAAGAAAACGATCACCAAAGGCACAAACTGAAACTAACTTGATCAGGAGATGCACAGAAAAAGAGAGCAAGAAACAGGGGAGGGAGCGGGACCTGGAAGCAGAGGTTCTTGCGGAGGAGGGCGTTGGCCTGCGTGAGGATGCTCGCGGGGCCCCTCGTGGGGGCCGGGGCGTCCATCAGCGAGCGAGCAGAGGAGCTGCTGCTGCTGCTGCTGCCGCCTGCTGGCCAGGTGCCCGGGTTGGTTCTGTGGAGAAGACGAGTCAATTCAGTGGCAAGTAGAGGAGCTGGCATATATATACTCTGGAGCCGTTGGCTCCCGCCAATTCCATGACGTGCTTACTGATCCCAGACGTGCGACATTGTTTGGTTCTGGTGGAGTCGGAGCTGGAAGTATTAGGGTGAAGACCAAATGACTTCTACTCGTACTAGATTCGAGATGATATTATCACGTACAAATATGGTAGTATTATATTCCGTTTGTTGTAACATAAGCTACGTGGGATGAAATTTTGTATACAATCATTCGAAATTCCGAATGATTATTACAGAATATTAGGTAACGATATGGGATGATATTGAATTTGATGAAAATGTGTGTGGCTCACGCCTGGACGTCCGAACCGACACCCACGTCCGAAACCCATGCCTATTGCGCCCACACATGCTACTGCACGCCCACGCCGCTCCGTTTTCCGCCGCGCATGCACGTGGGGACCGCCTGCTTCACTTGTTGTGCGCACACGGGACTGCCTACGCCTTTGCCCGCTTCACGCCCGCTCATGAAACCCTTGCAAAATGAAAGCACTTCCTACAACATAAGTCTGAAACAGATGAAACATTTAGAGTATACGCTTGCAACATATGTGTATAGTCACTATAACATATGCAACATCCAGATAAAATACTTGCAATATATGTCTAAAGTGGATGAGACATTTTGAATAGACACTTGCAACAAACGTGTATAGCCATTTTAATATATGCAACATCCAAATCTACTTTTACAACAACCGTACGAAACAATTGCAACATACATCTAGAACATCTGAAAACACTTGACATATACGTTTGCAACATATGCTTTCAGTGCAACATGGGTGGGCTGTGCGGCGAACTGGCGTGGTGGAGGCGGCCTGTGAGACTGTCGCGGCGGGCAGGGCACGTGACAGCCGAGACGAATTCGCGCGGGCAGGAGCGAGAACGGTGCGGACGGGCAGGAGCGAGCGGCGCGAGCGGGGAGCGCGATGGGCGGGAGCAGGGCACGCAGAGTGAGCAGCAGCACGGACGTATTATTAGCGATATCATAAAGCACATTTGATCCTAGTGCACAAGGTTTACAATACCTGTAAAACAAATTCAGCACCTAGCGATAAACACAAAAATATCGAGAATTTTGAAAATGTCGGATCAAATTCAAACAAATTCAAGATGATCTCTTTTTTAAAAATTGTCATCATTTCACTAAAGATTATCTACAATCCATCACGCATCACAATTATATATAACACCATCGGGAAAAAAAATAACACAACATATAGCAGAGAAGAGCATGGTCATTGCAGCAGACTGTGGTCACCGCCCATGTTGCTGGTGTTGTGTGTGGGACTGTGGGAGTGAGGAAATTCAATGAAGTTGGATAAACTTAGGGCTTTGGTGAGGGTATAGGATAGGGACAGACATTTTAGAACGGTTTGGTGCAATCTTAGGGCGGTGGAAAAATAAATCGTGCCTAAAATTTTTGATCCATACAAAAAGTTAATGAACTGTAACGAAAAAACGATATTTTGAATTTTTCGGTGAAATGTCACCAAAATTTGAACCCTGCCATGCATGATTAGTTGCAGACCCCGGTGACATAATATCCTGCCCTCCTTCCTTGACCGTAGCTAGCTCACTCTCTCAGCAGTTAGCACACTCATCTATATAATGTACTAAAAGACCTTGTTAAGCAAATCATGTATGCTTAGACACAGCAATGCAAGTTGTTGGGTAGAGTATTCATGTCAATGAGAGGAACCTTCGCATTGAATTCCTCACTTTGTTTGTTTAAAGAGCCAAAAGAATGACGTTCTGCATCTAACCAAGATTTGACCTTGCTAGCTGATTACAAACCTTATTCAGACTAAGAGCAACTTGGGAGGGCTCTGTCCTATCAAATCTGCCCCGCGAGTGATAATGCAGGATATTCTCGTAGCAGCAACTTAATCAGTCGTCACCAAATTGATAACGAACCCGTGGTCTGATGTCCTTATAGGGACAAGCTTATTTTTGTGATTCATCACATAGTTTAGCTAGATGTCAGCCGGCTGCTAAGGATGTGCTCCAGACCTTGGGCTCAACGTGAGGGTTGTTGGATGATGCATGCACAAATTAGGCTGTAGCTTAATATACTACTATAGAAAGCATTTGCAGAGATTCCTCCTTTTTTTTTCAATAGGGCAGTTCATTCTAAATCTGTCTCTAAAAATAGTTTCCAAAACGAGCTGTCTTTAAATGTGCATTGTAGGGATGCCTAGTATTTTAAATCGCCTCTACAAATGCCTCTATTTTTAGGGATGGCTCTAGATCCAGCTACATCTAGAAATCAAATGGGTGCCGCACAGTAAAAATTTACAATTTTTTAATTAAAGGAAGCCGGATGAGACAAACTTTATATCAAAGTTGTATGTCTCGAAGAGATCTACGACTTTATAGTTGACAAGTTTTCATTTGGATCCAGCAAATTTTGTTTGAAGTTTTCGCATTTTGAAATTCAAAATTTTCGAATTTCCCCAATGACCTCTAATGAAAAAACAACTCAAACCAAAGTTATAGATCTCGAAAAGATATAAAATATTATAGTTGAGAGCTTTTTCATAGTCTAAAAATTTAGTTTGAAGTCTTCAAATAATAAAATTTGAATTTTTCAAACAACCTCGAATGGAGAAATGACCAAAAACAAAGTTGTAAATGTAAAAAAGTTATACAACTTTATAGTTGATAATCTTTTCATTTGAAAATTGAAATTATCTGTCGAAGTAAAATCACAATTAACTCACATTTGAAGGTCAAATTTTCCAAACGACCACGAATGGAAAAACGATCAAAACCAAAGTTATAGATCTTGAAAAGTTATACAATTTTATAGTTGAGAATATTTTCAATCGAATTCGTTTAGGGTCTCAAATATAAATTAGATGAAGATAATATGAGGAGAAATAATATCTCATGTGGACATAGGTTAGTTTGAGGTGGAGTAGTTAGAGGAATAACACGTGTAGCGTGAGTCGCGAGTTCGATCCCCCGGCGTTTTTTTCGTGCGAAAAATAGCAAGACTTGTGACTTGCTTTGGACTAGGATAAATCCACTGAGACTATAATTTTAGGGCTTGTCTACCTGAAACTCGCGTGTTTCAGGGGGGAGAAAACACGCACGTGTTTCTTGCGCGGAAAACACACGGAAAAGACCCGGCAAAAATTCGAGTTTTTCACGCAAAAAAAACACACTATTCTGGAAAGGCAGGCAAGGCAAAAAAAGAAGGAAACCATGTGTTTTTCCGTTGAGAAACACACGAAAAACACCCAGTTGGAAAACCGAGTGTTTTAAGGCAGGAAAACACATGAATTTTGTGGCCTATTGTACTTGTACTTGTTGTAATCTGAGTACAAATCTATGTCAAAAAGGCCAAAAAACAGGGCAGATCTGTTCTGGTTGTAGTTATTTGCTGTTGTAGCCCATAAACCTGCAAAAAAAAAGCCCAAACCCATCAGCCCAATAGGAAACAACTTATCCATTAAAACACCCACCAACTTGGTGGAGAAGCAAACGCACACAGAAACACATCGACCGATCTGTTCGTGAGGAGGAACTCTACTCTCCTCACGCACAGTAGGGCAAAAAGGGGAGAAACCAGATCAAAGCATGAGGGAACGTGGAAAATCTCAAGATCCAAGGAGGCAAGACTCACCTCAACATCAATCAAGGTCAGTACAACAGACATCCATCCATCTGCTGAGTTAGATCCCTGCAATATGGCATCATGAAATAAGTCATGGTCTGAAATCAATCTGTGCAAACAATTTTTCCTTTTTTAGATTGCAATTCAGCAGATAAAAAGAGTAGAATGGTGGTTACATTACCTTTTTGAACAATCTTTGATAATCCCTAGACTGGACACATGTTTTAGTGTACTCTGTTACTTCTAGTTCTTAGATCCTTGCAATCAGTGCTATGCAAAACTGTCCCTGCAACAGATCGAATTACACATATGTTAGTATCTCTGCTTGCTCAGCTCAGCTCAGCTCTTGATAAAAACAGATTTCAAAATATGGAGGACACCTCACAACAAAACTATGATCTCAGTATAGTTGAAGGGATCAACAAGTGGCAACAAGCACTGGAGAAGATGGCTCAGATGAACCAGGTACTAGTTCTCTTCACATAAGGCAATGGCCATCCATTTGTTCAATTGGATACATGGTACACAGAATGCATCTCCTAATATGAATTTGCAAAATTATGTACTTTTCTCCATGATCTGCTACAAATGCAGAAACAACAATTAATCACATCTAGTTTTTGAATGAAGCAGAATAGGCTGTACATGACAACAAGCAGATTCGATGACTATGCAACATTATCCAACTCAATTAACATTGAAGCTATGATGACAACACACTCAGATCCTTTCCAGATATTTGGAGACACAACTAGTTCAAGTCACCTTTTCAACCCATACACAGTCAAAAAGGTGAGCAAATCATTGCTGAGATTGATAGAATCTGAACAGATACATGTTCTTAAAACAACAGAAATTTATTTCCATGCAGGGTGGCTTGACTGAGCTTATGCTTGAGCAAATTATGAGCTCACAAGAAGACATTGATCACACAGAAAGGGGTACCATGCAGGTACATAATTATAAAACAAACATGTGCAAAATTACTAGTGCTAGATTGTGTAATCTCAGCTTAGAACAAGTGTAATTTCTAAAATAATTATTATAGGTACATGAAGCGACACAAGGATCGTTAACAGACATGCTAATTGCAAATGACATGAATGCTCTTGAAGAAACCTTAGCACCCCATCCAGACTCATCAATATCAGACTCAAGGATGGCATACCAGGTACATGTCCACAAACACAACAATTTTCCACACATGCATCAGCAAAATTGCTTGAATACAAGTAATGCA